GTTAACTATTTGCGTTGGAGCTCGTTAGAAGTGTTAAATAAGTTTGAAAAATGTGCAACAACATGGACATCAGTCGTTTCTTGTACAATAAGTATACGTTTGCTCGAAAGCTGTTTATTTCATTATGATTAAAATATAATGCAAACATAGTTTTATTGACAAACAATTTTTATGTCTGTACAAAGTTGTTTAAAAAAGTAATAGCTCAGTCTTCCACATATGATAATCAAAGTGCAATTTTGTAAACATGACCAGCTGCATTGTGAATTTTCGTAGGTCGCGGTTCTGTTAGTACCCATTCATACCACACATATCGACTACTTACATTACGCCAGAGATACAAAGTGATCTTATCTTCAGAACGAGCATGGATTGGATACTCGAATGGAAATACCAATGGGAACCAAGATACCATTTGAGGGCTATGACGGTCCGGATGTGTACCTAGAAAATAAGAATTATATGAACTTTGTATATAATTTCAGGTCATATTCAGGGTCTGGTACTTTGAGAATTCTAGATAGTTTTGTTAATATATTGATGTAAAGCAATCACCAAATAGATGCTTTTCGTTAAGTCGATAAGCATACGTAGGAAAAAGGTGGGTTTAGTGTGAAAGCTGATTTTTAAATGCGACTGATGTTTACCAGTCAATTTCCACTATGTGTGAACTGGAAGTAATCACCTAATAAAAAACGGACGAGACCTTATTCAGTGCGGTAATTACTTAATGGTTGGTTGCCAGTGCAGGTTGGACTGTATACAACGTACTCTTGTTTGAAGAGTTGGGGAGTATTATCAACTATCACTACTCGGAGATGTCTCAGCCGTGTGCAGTCACAAGGTTACTTTTCATTTAGTGTGTAGAATTACTGAAAAACGATTAGGTGCTTTACGAATAAGAATATTTTGTTTTCCTTGGAAATCTGTTCTATATAGGTAGTAGTACAGTATAGTACAAAAACTCAAACATAATTGAAGGCAACAACAACAAATGATTTGAGAGAGAAAAATAAGTTGATAAGAACATAAGTGAAAGAATGTTAGCTAAGTGTCAAAAGCCGTTTACATGTTTTATTTGACTGTTGTCTAACGATCACGCACCTAGATGTAAAAGGAAGATCCTTAATTGTTAGGTGACACCAGCAGTTTTTTCTAATTACTATAAAAACACTTGAGATTTTACATGCATGCAGTCTGAGTTGACACTCAATATACTAATAGGAGCGGATCATTAGTCATTTTTATGTACGTCGAATAGAAAATACATGCTTAGTTAATAAGCACTACTGTGACAATCAGTTTTAGAAAGAAAAAAGAACGAGGCTTCGTGATATGTTAACACGTAGTAGGACCCTTGATACCCATACATATTTAAGAAAAATACGCTATTTTATTAAATAATCAGTAAGCAAACCAGTTTGTGCAAAAATAGAGAAATCCTAAACATTCTCAAATTTAGTTTGTATGTTTGAATACTCGCATTGTTGGTGCCAAGAGTTGAAACTGATCAGTCTCGACATATATGCATCTTATGTGGCTTGCCTGGCAACCAACGTGGATTCTTGCGAAACTTCCCTCAAACACATGAATCATAATAATTCTCAATAACTTACTGAGTGTTACGTCCTTATAGAGAATTGCTTCGAAATAACCGGCAATTCCATGTACAACGGCATCTTGTTGAATGTTAAAGCTACAACACACTTCACGTGCATTCGACTGATTCGATTCTAGAAAAAAAAACGAAATGTCTTATTCGATGGAAATATAAATACTTAAGAATGAAAAATTTTTTAACCATGTGTTATATCCCGATGAGAATAATGAATGGTAACTGTTGGGATCTATTTCTGGACTATTACTATACGTATACTCTTATCGTATAATTGTCAAGTAACTAAACTATACATATTCTGTCCCTCTTATTATGAGCTTTATTTTGACCTATGAACTATTATTATAGGATTTACCATTCTTGAGTTATGCCCAGTCTATCAATTGCTATCTCCCACGTTCACTGCCACCTTTGGCTAAATGTTGTACAAATGTTGTTTCCTATTTTATGGTGTGATGTGGTCTGTTTGGTTGGTATATAAACCCAGTATGTTTGAAATTATTTATATTGCAGAGGCTGAGATTGGTGTTCCGGACTTAACAGGCAGGGCTAGGCGGTAAGCACGACCGATAAGGACTCTAGACTGCTCGTACTTGTTTATGCGTCATTGGTTCGGTCGATAATTCACTGTTCTTGAATTGACGGTATCATTACATAAGATATAACAATAAGCTTATTTACTCACCTTTTTTTGGATGTTCAAATGTAAAAGCTGGTTGAGGTGAACTCAATATTTGACAATTACGAAGTCGAACAACATAAGGTGTTTCCATGGAATGCCCGACTCTATTGGTCTGCAGTATTGAAAAAGGTACAAGTAATGAAGTGAAACATTTATCAAGGTAATTTTGTCTCTTCAAGTTTAAAGCAACCAATTAACCAATCACTGGGACTGGTCTGGAATAAATTAAAACAATGTGGGTGGGATGACAATTGGTAATTAATTAAAAAATACCATATTCATTTTAATGTCGACCTTATCCCCAAGGGAAAAAGATGTGTATTCATGAGTGTGCATATATTCTCGATTCAATCATAGCCAATAAAGTTGCTTTTACTTAATAAGATGGTTTGGAGCTTGCATTTAGGAATCTTGTGTATTAGCATTAGACTCGAATGACTGTTTAATGTAACAATAATTAGCAGCTAGTCTATCACACATAAAAAGCCAAAAATATTAGGACTACGGTTGAGTGAATCGCTTGTGCATATGTTACTACCTTTGTACACATAGTTCAAGTATGAAACATTGAATTGTCAAGCGGTTATGTAGTGCCGTTACACAACAAAAAAAGTTCGTAACCATGACTGAACTCAACAGCAACAACGTAACAATTAATCAACAGATGTCCATAGTTTTCTCAATACAAAAAGTTGCTGAGATAGGGTACATGAAACGGATCCACAAAACAAAACGTTAAAACGACTGTAGCGAAGGAGATTCACTTATTCAATGATAATCTCAACTATGCTGAAGTGTAGTTTACTGGATCTTCGATTATCATTTATAATTTACACAGAATAATAACAATAATACTTACTGCTCTTCATTATATCTAAAAACTTGGAAACAAATCAGAGTAACCAACCACTTACCACATCTTTAGATCGTCTAGTTTCATTATATATTTGTAATGACTGTAAAGGAGCAACATATGATGTGTAGGAACATGGTATACTAATTCCATCATCTAAGTGAAATGAATAAGAATGCATAATATGTAAACGATAAGATTCAAATGTTCAATAGTTAATATCAAAAAAGAACATTACCACATTTATTTCTTTTTATAGGAGAGGGAATTTTAACAAATGCAAAACACTTACACATAAAAGTTAGTTAGAAATTACAAAATGTTATGAAAGTTATTCTGATAGAATTGAAGAAACATTAGTAAGTAAAAATAACTATATCAGTAGCTTGCATCACGGACTAATTTTAACTAGAAAACCATTGTAAACTACGAAACATTGGATGGCTAGTTTGTTCTAGTCTGTCTATGACTTCTCGACAGTTTTTACCCATAATTGCACCTGAAATTGAACACACTACATTCCAGGTCCTGGACAAGAGAGGGTTAACTTAAGACCACTATGTTTAGATCCACTGGTTTGGTTTGAATTTTTAACTTTTATCGGTTAAGACCGCTCTTCCAGAACTTCATGAGTTCCTTACGATATATATATATATTTCAGTGTAGGAAGGTAACCAGGTCCAACATTTTTGTTACAGAACAAAATCTTGTCAATAAATACAAAATAAATTAATAGATATGATAATTAAAATAACCCATAGTGTCATTGAATAAGAAAGAGAATTCAGCGAAGAAAATTTTCTTTTCGACGAAATCATTTACTTAAGCTGTACATTCGTATATATAGTTATATGGAAAATGTATGTCTATAGAAGGATAGAAAATTTTCTTCGCTGAATTCTCTTTTTCTAATAGATATGATCTTGCATATTTGCTTTACCTATTATACAACCTGTTCTGTAGTTATCCAAGAAGATGATTTGTTTTTGAATATATATAATCTTAAAACTTTCATAGAGAACTCTATCTGTATGAAATGAAAGTTCTTTTCAAAATGTTTGGGCTTAATTTACCATATTTAACAGCTCTACCTTCTATCAATTCACTATTCAAAAATCTTATAATTTACCTGCAACTTTGAATTATTCCTAAATAAATATAGACGGTAATGGCAGCTTACAGAACTAATCTATTTGTTTTGTTTTTTTTATTATCAAGAATAAGGTGTGCAGCTAAATCATTTTCTTCAGTCTGCAAGAGGACTTGGCAATGAAATAAATTGGCTAACAACTGTATGATTGCCGTTATGAACTAACTCAGCAATAATATTAAGTTGCATAGATTAATTTATTTATCGATCTGATTCTGAGATGATTTATTAACAAGTATAAATAGACAATAGTTAAGGAAAAGAGAGCAGAGTAAATAATTGGATATTAACATCTACAGAAGTAACATTGAAGTCGAACTGTTTCATATATTACTTTGTTAAAAAGAAAGTTTTAAAAATAAGGGTGTCGGCTTTTCAATTAAAAAAAAAAAATCAAATCAAATATTACTGTCAGTTAAGGAGATAAATATCTTGAATAATAGCATAGTTTACAATCAAACTTTTTTTTCTGAAATCCTATGAGAAACAATTAAAGATTGATTTTTGTTTTAGTTCAATACAGAATAACTGAAAATGGTAGTTAGATAAATAGGCTAAACAATATGATGTTATTGTTTAAACTCAATAAATTGATGCATATAAGTTGAAATAGGAATTCTCTTTTGTCAATTGATAGATAACTTGGTAACCTACAACGACCTAATGTTGAGTGAACATAAATTGCATAAAAAGTGTATATAATGAACTAATCTAGTAAAATGAGAAATAATTTTTATCATATTTCATTGTTGTTTTTTTTTGTAATAAATAATTCTGTGACATTCACATAGTGTATTCGTGATTGTTTAGTGCATTCAGCAGAAAGGTTTGTAATCGAGTGATTAAAGCGTTAAAATTATAACAATTTCTCTTCCGAGGAAAACTCATATCATGTAAAAGTTTGATATGATGGACATAGTTTTAAAAATTAGTTACAAATCAGAAAGGAATACTTGTTAAAAGGCTTTGCATTTAATTTCATTACTAAGTAATCGATGAAGGCGATCTTGTTCGACTTACCAAATGTTTAAAAATGCAAATTTAAAAACTAATAAATATTTAGGACTACAACATCAATATTCAATATTGAAGTCTGTTATGGATGCAGAATAATGTGCCAATCATTATCATGTTAAGTCTAGTGATGTCCTTGGACGTTAAATGGACATTTTCTATTGGCCATTATTTATTTCATCCGTTAAATATTGTACAAATGTTGTTTTCTATTTTTATGGTACGATGTGGTATGTTTGGTTAGTATATAAATAGAGTATGTCTGAAATACAATGATTCATATCTAAGGAGGCTGTGACTTGTGTTCTGGACTCAACTGACTGGGCTAGATAGGGAAGTGGGACCAATCGAGACTCTAGGCCGTCCGTACGTGTTTACGTGTTGTTGGATCGATCGATAAATACGCTGCTCTCTAATCTCTTCAGTCAAGGACACAACAATTAGCACAGGGTAAAAATCAACCCAACTTAAAGTTATAACAAAGTCCAACTATGATTACTGAGTAAAATGAATCGAAATCCGCTCAAATTATTTAGATGAGTATTAAGTACTCTTTACTGTAAAGTGGATAAATGTGATTCCTAAAGTATTATTACACAAACATTGAGAAATGGGATCAAGTGAAGAATCATTGAACAGGGAATTGTTAACAGTACACAGCCTGACAATCGCATGTACTGATCAAACGAAAATACGAACGAACTGATTGATCCATTCTTAACCAATCAGTGCTAGTGGATAAGTCGAAATGCAACAACATTTCTATATAAATTACAAAAATACATCAATGCTTTTACTACGGGTATTTTTGTTGTTCAGCTTATTGAAATATGTATTATTCACCGTAAATTCTTGTTTTAATTAGGAAGATAAGTGTGAAGTATCATAGTCAAGAAAAAATAGACAGTAGAAGCATATAAGAAGAACATATGATTATTTTAGAATAAAATATTTAATCTGACACAGTCAAAAGAAATACTTACCTTTTAGCATTGGTTGTGCACCATCTAAACATTCTGGACTTAATTCATTATCACCGAATGAACCAAGTAGTTCACTGACAAATATATCAGCTTTTTCTGGTGTTTTTAAATTACGCATATCACCTTCAATTAGTTGTACATCTAATCCTTGCCATTCATGATTTATCCTAGACTGAGTTTAAGGCGAAAAACATTGAAAATACAAACTGAACAAGAGATGAGATTAGGAAAAACGATTATAGATTTTCAGTATAGGGGTTGTGGAGATTATTAAGTTTTTGATTGGGATCATGAACCGAGCGATGTTAGACCACCGTTGGAAAACTGGACGGCCGTTTCGTCCTATTGAGAGACTCCTCAGCAGTGCGCATCCACGATCCTGTGAGCGGGATCAATCGGTTCATGATCTCAATCAAAAAAATCATAGATTTGATATAGCTCAAAATGTTTTTTGATGAATATTTAGAAATGTAATTCTTGAAGCTGTAAAGACGCATAAGTTTATCGTAATTTTGGAAAATTCTCAGAATAAGTATTATTTTCTATTTTCTTCAGTTTGTTTCCTCTAAATTTTTTTCACAGTCTAGTAATCGATAACTATTTGTAGTATTGTTTACACCTAAGTTTTTTTTCATTTTGATGCACTAGTGTTACATGTGTAGCTATATAAATTGATACACTTGTGTCAGATCCTACGTTGCTTAAAATTAATTTGGGACAAATATTTGTCGGCTGAGAATGTCACGTTACATATTACAACAGGGAGATGTGAAACGAAGGAGTGAAACTAATAGTAATATCAAAAATAGTGCCACTCTATATGTTGTTTATGTTTTCTTACTTAACAGGAACCTACAAGCGCAATGAATTAAAGTTAGTGTCACATCTTGATAACGAACATCATAACAAACATACTAGTCAGATGAAAAGTTACATTTATTAATCGTCATTTAAGCGTGGTTCGAACCTGTGACATTCCGGTTGAGAGCCAATTGTCTTAAAAACTAATTGCTAATTATGTAGTGTTGTGCATATTACTATTCAGTGTAAGTAACATTATAGTAACTCCACCTGTAGCCCTTCCAGGGTTACTGACGATCCCAAGCCCGAGTAAAGGAGGGTTGCTAGAAAATCGCTAATCACAATAAACAATTTAAACTCTGCCATAGGATTCGAAGGATCTTCATTGAGAAGAATTATGACACTTCGTGATGAAGGCCAAGATTCTTTGAAAGTCACTAGACCGATGCCTCGAGACACTTGGCAAGATTCAAGAGAGGATGAACAAGAGAGTGAAAGGGAAGCATTAGAGCTGACAAGCAGAAATACGTGGAAGACATAGCAATGACAGCGGAATAAGCTGCAACAGAAGGAAATATGAAACATCTATATGACATAACGAAGAAACTAGCAGGGAAATATGGTAAACCAGAACGACCAGTCAAGAACAAAGAAGGCAAGACAATCACTGAAATTCAAGAACAGAGGAATAGAAGGGCAGAATAATTTTAAGAACTCTTGAATAGATAAGCCCCAATGAACCCTCTGTATATCAAAGAAGTACACATAGACCTTCCTGTAGATGTCACTCCACCAACGATTAAAGAAATCAGGATGGCTATCAGACAAAACAAGAGTGGGAGGGCAGCGTGATCAGAAAACATACCAACTAAAGCACTGAAGTCAGATTTAGAAGTAACTGCAAACATGCTTCACACTTTATTCAGGAAAATTTGGGAGAAGGAACAAGTGCAGACAGACCGGAAAGAAGGACACCTCACCAAGATAATAAAGAAAGGAGATCTGAGCAAGTGTGAAAACTACAGAGGCATCAAACCATTATCAGTACCCGGAAAAGTTTCAAGTGTTGTTTAACCGGATGAAAGACTCAGTAGATGGCCAACAGGCCGGATTCCGCAAGGATAGGTCGTTCACAGAACAAATCACGACACTATGGATCATCGTTGAACAATCAGTTGAATGGAACTTATCAATATGCATCGACTTCCTTGACTATGAGAAGGCGTTTGACAGCGTGGATAGAACCTCATGGAACCTTAATCGACAGTATGGTGTACCTGAGGACATAGTCAACATCATACAGAATTCATACGACGGACGACATTGAAGAGTCGTGCATGGAGTACAGCTGACAGATGCATTCCAGGTGAGGACCGGAGTCAGACAGGGCTGTCTACTTTCTCTTCTGGTGGTCGACTGGATTATGTAGACCTTTACATCTGAAGGGAAGCACGAAATACGATAAACAGCTTTAATGCAGTCAGACGACTTGGACTCCGCAGATAACGTAGCCCTACTATCCCATACACACGAACAGATGCAGGTCAAAACAGCCAGTGTGGCTGAAGCCTCGGCATCAATAGACCTCAAAGTACATAAGGGAGAAAGCAGGATCCTCAAATACACAACAAAGAGCCCCAAATAAGTTACACTTGATGGAGAGGTTCTGGAACAGGTGGAAAGTTTCACATATCTGGGCAGTATCACCGACAAACAAGGAGGATCTGATGCAAATGTAAAGACAAGGATTGGCAAAGTATGGGCAGCATTCCTATAGTTCAAGAACATACGAAACTCAAAACAACTGTCAACCAATATCAAAGTCAGAACCTTCAATACGAACGTCAAAACATTTCAAATGAATGGAGCTAGAACTTGGAGAACTATCACAACCATCATCAAAAATGTACAAGTATTTATAAACAATTGTTTAAGTAGGATACTCAATGTCCGTTGACTGGATACCATCAGCAGCAGTCTACTGTGGGAGAGAACAAACCAGCTCCCATCTGAGGAGGATTTTAGGAAAAGACGTTGGAGTTGGATAGGACATACATTGCGGGGATCACCAAACTGCATCAGGCGGCAAGCCATAACTTGAAATCCTGAAGGGAAATGGAAAAGTGAAAGATTACGGAGCAAACTGTGTGGGGAGTCGGAAGCAGACATGAATAGGAACTGGAAGGGATTCCCAAGGACAGAGTTAGATGGAGATTGCTGTTGAGCGGCCTATGCTTCTTCACGAGGGGTAACAGGCGTAAGTAACATCATGGTGTTGGTGGTTAATTAAGCCAGATGCCAAATGGTCGGGCGGTTATTGAAAAGTTTTATAGGTGTGGATAGACCCAAAAATGCATTTAAAAAAAGAGACGAACACAGTTGTGGTGATAACTTGCCAACAGATTTTTTACTAGAAACTTGTCTCTATACAATTAACTTGATCATAATTAACAGATATTCAGGAACTTACACGTAATGTACACAATGCATTTGGATTTTTTTCAATTGCATATATCCGAACTTTACATTGAGCTCTTTCAGCAGCATTTATAGTCGCATTGACAAGGGGACCACGACCTGCACCCAATACCATAACTACTTGACAAATATTTGAATTATGATTGATAAAAGCATTTAAATGCTCTTTACTTTGTGATGATTGTGAAGGCTTTGTAAGACATTTTTCTTTAACTGTATTCGATTCATTATATTTAGATAAACGGTCGCAAAGAGCTTTGTAAATTGCCTAAATTATTACAAATATATTACCATTACTAATGAGTTTTATAAAACCGATATTATAACTTTACTGTACTGGAGAGCAAATGAAAAATATAATTAAGAAAGAAATCCAATGATAGACAATTCTTTAGACTAAAGGCAAAATGATGAGTGTTAATTTTCACCCGACTTCCGTTTATATAAATTAATGCTCTACACTTGGAGACATTTGACCACACTACAGCTTATACTTTAGATATAAAGAGAAGTAAGGTAAACTGTATTGAAGTCTTACACTGTGTATTGATTACTATCTTTGGTGAAGGCTAGGAGACATTTAAATAATTGGATTTCGGCAGCTTTCATATCACGTGGGAAGACCAATAAAGGACTGATTTGCTTCCTAATTTTGTCACTTGGTTAGCCGCTGGGTCAGAAGGAACCCGAGCGCCAATAGGCGTTAAGGTCTTCTTCATCGTTTATTGGTCCATGTATCAGTTGGTAAATATGGCACCCGTCCCACTGGTAATAATATGGGTGAACTAATCGATAACCAAACTAGAGGGAGATAATACAACTACTTTCCGATAATTATGCCCCGATCACACGGGACCAAATACATTCAAGCATTTTTTTCAACATAACAATAACCTATTGAGAGTTTCTTTAGAACGTGACCAACTTGATTTATAGACCGTAGAAAAAAAGTAGATTCTTTATAGAATACTTCTGAATACTGAGAATTTGTTTTGTTTGTTAATAGTAAAGAAAATGAAGCCATAACAGTAGACCATACTCATCTGTAGTCAAATCACAGACTAGTATATATATGTTGTTAATTGTCACATTTTATTTTTCTAAGTTATTATATTATGTACTGTCTATATCACTAAATAATCAGTCATGTGAAATAAATTTAATTCATGATCCCTAAGTTAAATACAGACATCCAAGCATGCCAAGGGGATATATTCATGAAAAGTCATGACGTTATACTTATTACTAAACAATTAGTCATATTCTACATGAAACAACCAAGACAAAATTACTGTACATGTTAGGAATCGATCAATGAAGCATTATGATCTATTATCATAAATGTAATTCTTGATTAGAATTTTATCCATTTAATGTGCTATGTTTTGCTGCTGTGTACGTTTTGTCCAAATATCTATACTTGTTACCAGTTTCTGTATTGATTTCATTATGTTTGCACTTTCCAAACGAATGAAATTTTAACACCAAGTTGTAATAATTTTAATTGAACAATCCCTAAATTACATTGTAGGGTACGAATAGAACATTTGTGAGCAAATTAAATCCGACACATGGTTATTAAACAGCTAGTGTTAACTAAAATGTTTTATAAACAAATAGTTTTTTGAAAGCAGAAAATATTATTTTATACCTTAGTTAAAACATCAGATTCTTCGAGGATGAAGATAAAATTTGCTAATGAATAATAAAAGGCAAAGAATCTCCAATCACTAGCTTTCTTGACTGCTTACTCCTCAGTATCATCATTAGATTTAAGTTTTAAGCTCACATTAACTCATTTACCAGGTATCTGGATACAAGCCACACTTTAAGTGCGAGGTTTAATGATACTATCCGAACCGAAACAGATGGGATGGAGCTCAGATCTGTGGCTCAGAGTTGAATGCCACAACCACTAAGCCGCCGCTTCACTCATAAGTTTGGCGTCAGGAATAGGATTAAATAGTTGTGGAATAAATAGCAAATAAGGAAATAATCCACATAGAACAAACTAATTTAAAGACTTACAGTTTCATACGCTTGATATTTAAACGGATCCATTTCGAAAATCGAATATGTTGTAGAAGATAAGTTATCACGAAGTGGTTGCAAAGGTTCCTGAAAACGATGGCAAAATATAAACACAGAGCATGACATGAGTGGTGTTTAAACTAGTAAGATACAATTTGATGTGTGTAGACCGAGTTATAAATGATCAGGGAATCAGGACTAACGATAACATTCAAAAAATATAACCAATGTTAAGATAATGTGGTATTTAAATACATAAAAAAGGACAAAAAGATGTCACTTGAAGCTGGTAATGAGTGGTACGTAACGTGAAAAGCCGTTTCGGTCAGTTAGTCATATGTAACGTAAAACATAGCACATAATGGACATCAGTTGTCACCATATCGGTACAACTAAATGAAATTACAAAAAAATACCATAGTAGTAGAGTCGGTTAGCCAGTCAGCTACAACGTAGGACCAGGCACATATATGCATCGGTCCAAGTTGCCACACCTCATTAGCACAACAAGACCAACACCAAATTTAGTTACCCCAATGATAGTAATATATAAAAGATCGTATATAAGGGTATAATACAGGAAGAAAAAAATTAGTTCGTAGAAAGGTATAAAATAATTTTAATCTCACAGTTTAATTGAAGACAAAGTGTATACACCTACGCCATTGTAAACGATTTTGAGCTATATAGTGACAGTATCAGTGATGGTCGGAAAGATTAGGCATAGATATGAGTCGAGGACAATGAGTGAAACTGTGAAATGAAAGGCGCAAAGTAGTTTCAAAATACAATATCTAAGGGAAGACAAAGTAAACACATCTTTACTATTCCGATCAATTCTGACTCACGTCACCCAATGTCTCTAATCATTGTATGTGACGGTTGCCTAGACCTCAACCTGGTGGTCTGTGCCTACTGACATGGTTTGATTCGACACTCGGTGACTTGATAAACTGATGAAACGTCTTGATATGGCCACGCCTATGCCAGCAAACATTGCACATCGAGGTAGGCCTTTTCACGAAATTTAGTTATTTTCAGACTTAGTACCATTAGAGAGGGAATATATACATTTTTAGGTTGTGGTATAACTTAATCGTTTTGAGATTTTATAAACTCTAACTCTAATCCAACCACTATCGCACCAAATTATGTGCCGATATAATCGATATAAACCTGTAACTCAATAATTTAGATATACAGCTTCTAGCTACTAAATTATGCCAGTAAGAGGTTGTGGAGATGGTTGAATTTCGTTTAAATCAATCATGAACCGCTTCAAATTAAATCGTATGTTCGAAAACTCTTACTACCACTATTTGGAGTGGCTTTCTTTAGATAATAAGTATAGCTAATATATACTACATTTACTACACCTCAAATAATTAATGGGTTGAATGTTTTCAAATGATAGAAGTTTAGCAATTTTATCTGATTCTCATATATAGTTAGCGGTTCCCGTGTGGAAAAAAACAGTGAAGTGTTCAAACAATTTTGACTATTGGTTGTACTTATTTCTGGTTTAACATAGTGTAGAGAGAATACACCGCACTATTCAAGTAAATATCGAACCTAGTTGAGGACGTCAACAAAGTGTATGGGTATATTTAGTAAAATAAACTTTCAAATGGATTGTGACATTTATTATCAGTTTATGTAGTTCACTTCGTAACATTAAATAAAGTTTTTTTAAATCTCTTAAATTTTCTGTGTATATTAATTAAGAGGAAACTTTGAGTAGATTAATGTCATGTTTGTGTAATAAAACTAACCTGTAATTGATCTTCTAATCCCTTTGATTGTTCTTCATACAAATCAGGAGCATCTTGAGATTGCCAAAGCCATGCAATATATTGTTGATAGGCTGTATAACCTTTATCATTTCGACAGGCACCAGTCAGTATAATTTGTACATTCAGCTATAAAGTGAGATTTGCAAACTTTCCCGTTACATTATTAATTCAAAAATAGTATGAATTAGTACAAAATATGAAAATTTAACAGGCATGTATTTCATAATTAGTTGGTACAATGAGGAATTTAGTTTTTTCATGAACAGTCAACTTCGGGAGAATCTAATAAAAACTCGACGGCGGTGATTATAAACTTTGTTCTAGTCTTTAAACTTGTTCACTAGGAGGCAACTAATGGAAGGACTTCACAGATCCAATTTTAAGATCATAAAAAAATGAGTGGTAGTTTATTGGTGCTATTACCACCATTAATTCTAGTATAAAAGGATTGACTGACTACTCATCCGGTAGTTCTTGGTCTGCGGTAATTCTCTACTTTCCATCTTAGCTGCTGATCAGAATTATTTGCTATTAGATTTTGTGAGCGATAGAAATTTGTAATGTGTAACTTTAATCAAGTCAGACATAAGAGCACACCCCCACTGGTGATATTAGAAACTAAATGTGTTGGAACACCAATCAACTTCAATTAAATAGTGAGGATCGTTAGATTTCTAACAAGTGACTCAGGGGCAATTTACTGATGGCAATATGTAAAAGCATTAATTCTGACCCAATAAAGAACCCTACACTGGAAGTGAACAACTAGTCTAAAACCAACGGGACCCTGACGGTGTTCAACAAATATGAGGTCCAGGCAAAAAAGATCTTTGAATTAACCAATTTTGTGAAGTCGTCTACTTCAATGGGATAAGGTGGTTACGAAGTTAATGTCAGACAGTTGATGGAATAGTTCTCTAAAATATCCAGATACACTAGAAATAAAGTGCTAACAATTAAACTGGACTAACTGATGGTTGTATATAATCTATTGAGACTGAAGAATTGTTGCAGCTGGCATGGGTCTCAAGTGCAAAGACTTGAAATATGGATTAAGCGAATATTCATTTGTTCGTACAATGGTAACAGTGAAGAGGTTTTAAGGACGAGAATCTTGTTCTCACTAAAGTCACCCAAGTCTTGAAATTCCTTAGTTTTCCAGGTGAGGAAATTAGGATGATTACCGGGATCAGTCTGCATTTTTATTGGCTTCTTAGTTTTATGGTTTAATAACGATCTATTGTCGGTATTTTACAGCTATCTAGTTTTTTGTATAGTAGTATATAACAGATTACATAAACCCATATATTTTACAAGCAAAAAATATTCTTTTTGTGACCAATAATCCAACTTTAGACAAGATCAATTAGTTTTAATCGGTGTACAACCCGTGTTTACGGGATGTCAATTAATTTTGAAAATTCTAATTAGAGAATCACTGGCCGGCACTTAACTTCTTGAAATCCTAAGAGATCAACTTGACTGTGCAAACTTATCATTTCAACGGTCCCTATAGTTTTTAGGAATCTAGTTAACTCGCTAGATGTATTGAGTTTTTGACAGGAGGAGCAGTAGTCATGGTACAAATGAGTTAGTGTAAAGGAATAAATAATGTTATCAAACATTGGTAACACAGTACTAATCCATACGAAGACTAGACAGAAACTGAAGTGCGTTTACCTAAAGGTAACAAAACCGTTTTATTATATCCATTAAAAGAAACGTATGGGAACTCATAAGTACCTTAAAGAACCGGTTGATGATATACTGATGACTCTTTGGTAGTACAGGGTAGCCCTTGGAATTGGTCAGGAACAGCTGTGTATCAATCAACAAACAAACCACAGGCTCACTAAACCATCTTGAAATCACTGACTCATTGGGTAGGTCATTTGGTATCTCAAGAACAATGCCAAGAGCGTCTGAGATATCAGCTGTCATGGTAGATAGATTTAGCCACCAGTGCCAGGGTGAACAGAATGATAATTCATCCGGTGTTGATTCCTTGTTCTCCACTTTACTCACTGGAATAAATCATATCGATAAATTCGCCACAACGACGAAGTATGAACAGTACGAATAAATTTTAAAAACTTTAAGTAAGTTGCATTAGCTGGGATAATGAAAACCAGTAGCAAGCTATTTTATGAATGATTAGGAAGTGATGGAGCCCAACACAACAATGTACCACTTGAAGCTAATACCTGGTGAAATGAAAAACAACTGCCAGACAACCTTTAAGTTATTAAGAATATCTAGGTAAGAAGACTACTTTATGAAAGATTCTCGAAATACCAAGCTTTACAGCAAGGGGCTATTTGGCATAGCGAAGAACCAATCGCAATAGCAAGGGGTTAACTCTTTATTATATAAATAGTGATTACTCCAACGTTTTCTTTTGTTATGCTTATGTTGTCTACTTTAACATTACATTTGTTGATTTTTTTATTTCAGTGCTGTTATGATAACCTTAATATGTAAACTCGTAGTGTTGAGTAGTTCCCTCAGGTTTTATTAATATAGTATATTCTTACATTCAGTGACCAAATAACTTGGTGCTACGCGCTAGTCTGAGTATAAGGAATAGTTATAAGCTTTATTTTTATCTAGAAAGCTCCAAATGCCAAAGCCTTTGGCTTTAAAATTTCAAATTTAAACAATCACAGCATTTTTAACCATCTGTTTGCGTACATAACACGTAGGTTGAGATGCTTTCTGATGAACTGTGAAACTATTTGAAGTAGTACTAAATCGCCGTCAAACTTTAAATTTTTATAATAACTACGCGTGGATATGAAAACCTTACATAAAATTTGGATGAATGATCTGAAATTCCACTCACTTTCATTAGAGCTGTTGAAATTGATTACCATTGGAAATACTAGCCATATCTTTTAAAATGTTAACTTGACCACAGTAAATACCTTAATTGGGGTATATTCTCCACGTATAAAATTTATTAGTAACCTGGCCAGATTAGGACTGGTTGGGCGATTAACTCTGATGATAACGGCAGGCAAGCCTAGATGTGCAGCCCAACTAAGTTCCTTCATTAATAGTTGAGCACTAGATTGACGGATGGATATTATGTCAGCATCAACATCAATCGTCGTCGATACCTTACCTACCAACGACTTCGTGATGCTTTTGCCTAAAGTCTGACAGAAACGAAAGTAGTTTCATACCATTTTTTTCGTAGGCAAGGTCAGAACGTGGATCAGGACCACCAGAGGTAACTGACAGATCTTCAACAATTGATTTTGGATGAAACAAGTCTATGGAAAGAAATGAAAACCTGGAATTGAATAATGAAGTAGTCTAATATTACCCAGACGAGAGAGCTGAAGAATATTGCGAAGATACGTCACTCGTGAAAACCAGATCAAGACCCACCAGGGCTTCAGAGACCATGTTCTCAATTAGTCCTCTAGCCATGCGGAGACCGACCTAGAGCACTCGACCCTTGAAGGTCAATCGTTTTCCTGCATTCAATTAAAGAACTCAAAAGTAAGACGAACAAATATATCAATCTTTAGTGAGGACTCGACTTGATTATGTCCATCAGTGACAGAAGCTGAAGTTCATAAGAGTTAACGACAGCTTATATGCCTTATTTAGTATTGGGAGAGCTGAAATGCTAGTGGAATTACATTGTCTTATAACTAAATGATACTTTGAGTGAAATACACACTAACTTGGCAGGTTTACTCTACACTTTGGGTGTTGCTTGGAAATAGGAGGGGTTTAAAAGGGCCAACACGGAAATATTATCGGGAATATATGGCTGAGTCATAGTTTGTTCTGTTCTAAAATGTTTAACATTTTGTAGCGGTAAATGAATCCCCAAAATAAGTAGCTCCATGAGACTTCGACAGTGGATGCCGTCCACATTAGTTTTAATGGACTCGCCTGGCTGGAGGCATTAGGTCATGCATCCGCACCAGATCACGAGTGTGAACGCCGTGCTCAGCATTCCCTTCAATCGCTAGCCAGTCTAGACCAACCGATCCTCGATATATTGATAGCCTATCAAAAATATCTTCGAACCTTCTTGCTTCTGTCTTTTGATTTCACTTTGTGGGTACGATTCATATTTGGTGTTACTGGTTAAAGCGTTGTCAAACTCCAAATACCTGTGGCATCTTCAATTTCAAAAGAAAAAATAATGTAAAACTCCGAGGAAATCGCCACCGAATTTCAATCCAAGCTGTCTGATAACCTCTGAAACCAATGTTGTGGATATTCTTCTGGATACTATCTCAGGACTATTGGTAGACATGTACATCATCAACGTTGATGGTCTCTTTTGAATGTTTGGGGGCCTACTCGATTTAGACTGGAATGGTGTGGCCAACAGCTAACTTCGAAGCCACGCCTCACGGTCAGCGCCTAACATGGTTTACTTCTTCGTCGGGTCAAAGCGCTATGGCTGCTTTGAAGACCGTGTGACACAAAGGAAGTTATTACAGAAATTTATTAGCTAGAGTAGGTGTAAGCGGAAGTGTGACCACCACCGCATGGGCCAGTCCGTGGCGTATGATTAACTGATGAGCGTTGGTCGTCCTTGGCCTTGAGAGGGATTGACGATCTGTTTGATACTTAGTGACCCAATTGTCAGATGATTTGGCTAGGGCTAAGTGACATTTCACTGACCCTACAGACACACATCTATTGGTCATCTGACTGCACATCCCATGGTCCAACAGATAAAGAACTACTTTCTACGACTTTAGGAGAATATTTAACGATGTGTATTGATAGGGGGATTTCTCAGTTTCCTAGACATGTCCGGTTGTCGCCGGATTCGAACCCATATGCTAACTTCAAGTGGGGTGAGTTTAAATAGCTCATTAGGCTTTAGAATAACTTTACCTAATCTTATTTTTGGCAGTGTCTTTCAAACGGTAAATATCTAACAATAGAGGACTACTTAGCAAGAATAAACAATTAAGCTGAGCTACATTGTTGGGTAGGCTGATAACTAAATCTGAGATATAGCGACTGTAAAGTGCACGAAAACAGAAAAATGTGAAGTTTTGGTGTAAAATTAAGTGATCCGTGATCAAATAGACATGCATCTAATAACTTCTGAGTTTATGGGAGCTCCTGATGAGTATTAACTTTAAGAATAGACGGATATGAACGAATATGAGGGTGAAAAAGTCGGAATGTGAGTTTATATTTATTTAACTATCTCGTTTTACATAGGTATTATGTCTCACTTTTTTTCTGTTGACTAATGGACAACTGTGTTTTCCTACTCCTGACTCTCCTTACCCCCTTAGTAGTGTATCTTTAGTAAGGCACGTATATACAATGTGGACCAAATAACACCGAATCCTAATCAAAGTATCTGATAAGTGGGACGTTTCATTTTGTCAGAAGACTGATCGCTGAACGTTTGATATTTTGATCACCAATGTAAGTGATCTGATCGGGTTTCCTTGAGTCGAATGGAAATGGCGTGACCTCTTGGCTTAAACCGAAGTCACACGTTGCTGCTATTAATTAATCTGCTTTATGTTCTCCTGATGAAATGGTGAACATGCTTTCTTGTTGATTCGCTAAAATAAATACCCTCAATGAGCAAGAGCATATGTTCGTGAGAACATATAAGAGAGGTACAAAGTGGTAGCACAGCGTCCACCTGTCAACACAGCAGAAAAATAAATCCTTTTCGATCCCAATTGCTCCTTCTTTCGACAACCCTGAACGTCCCAGTTGAGAGCGGACACTGTGTATATGAAGTGCTTGAGGTTTTTGGGTGCGTGTAAACTTGCGTGGATTTCAGATCTTCAGATGTCTGAAAATGGTCAAAGTCGTCGCAAATGGCATAAAACGTGTCTTCCGTCTTTTCCTAGTGTAATTACAGGCTTGGTTACCCCTGCGTAACGTTCTCTAGAAACCATAGGATAAATAGTTTTACTGGAGAGCCTGTGATAGCAAGTTGAAAGCATAATATGAATACAACTGACCACACACGTTTCTAGAGCTTGATAATCTGCACAACTCACTGTTCTGTTAGAGATTAAGGAGAAAACGTGTGACAAAAAGCGTTCGGAACTGGGATTATTGTGTTTGTTGACAGGCTGCGGTGCACGATTGCAAGTCCTAGGTCTACCAAAACGAAGTAGTGAGACGATATTTTTCCCGAAGACCGATCTGTGACAAAAAAGTATTTTGATAGTTACGATCAAATCGCCGCATACAGATAATATACAGAGGTTCTCGTTATTGATTCTACTGATATAACCAACAACCAGAGGTGAGGGTGATGTTTGATGGATTGTATTATACAAGTATTCATCACTTCAATTACTGGTAGCTGGTTCTTTGGCCACAGGCGTCAATTGTTTGCATCGATAGGGAAAAAACAGGACTCATGTTACCTTGACATCGGGTCACCTTACGGAAATGACGAGTGACACTTCAAGGACAAAAATATTAATCATGGATCGTAGGTAGACGAAAGCTAATGAAGTCCGAACATTTAACTTACCTGCTTACTTACGTCTGTTACCCCTCATGAAGAAGCATAGGCCGCTCAACAGCAATCTCCATCTAACTCTGTCCTTGGGAATCCCTTCCAGTTCCTATTCATGTCTGCTTCCGACTCCCCACACAGTTTGCTCCGTAATCTTTCACTTTTCCATTTCCCTTCAGGATTTCAAGTTATGGCTTGCCGCCTGATGCAGTTTGGTGATCCCCGCAATGTATGTCCTATCCAACTCCAACGTCTTTTCCTAAAATCCTCCTCAGATGGGAGCTGGTTTGTTCTCTCCCACAGTAGACTGCTGCTGATGGTATCCAGTCAACGGACATTGAGTATCCTACTTAAACAATTGTTTATAAATACTTGTACATTTTTGATGATGGTTGTGATAGTTCTCCAAGTTCTAGCTCCATTCATTTGAAATGTTTTGACGTTCGTATTGAAGGTTCTGACTTTGATATTGGTTGACAGTTGTTTTGAGTTTCGTATGTTCTTGAACTATAGGAATGCTGCCCATACTTTGCCAATCCTTGTCTTTACATTTGCATCAGATCCTCCTTGTTTGTCGGTGATACTGCCCAGATATGTGAAACTTTCCACCTGTTCCAGAACCTCTCCATCAAGTGTAACTTATTTGGGGCTCTTTGTTGTGTATTTGAGGATCCTGCTTTCTCCCTTATGTACTTTGAGGTCTATTGATGCCGAGGCTTCAGCCACACTGGCTGTTTTGACCTGCATCTGTTCGTGTGTATGGGATAGTAGGGCTACGTTATCTGCGGAGTCCAAGTCGTCTAACTGCATGATTTATAGTTTAATGATTCGGTCTGTACATCACCAATCCTCATGGAATTCATCCTATTGATGACCAAGCTGGACATCTGCTGAGTGTTTTACTCGTCTCAGTAACATTATGGTGAAATTATTCCTGGCACTGTTAGTGGTGTGATTCTTCTCCAGTGCTCCTACTTACTGAGATCCTTCTTCAGGATCATGATGTAGTGTCCTTCACCCCAATCTGTTGGTATTTGTCCTTCCTTCTAAGTCTTTCTGAGTGGATGAGGAGTATCTCTGAAGTTACCTCTAATTCTGACGTCAGTACTTCAGCTGGTTTATTGTCTGTTCCTACTGCTTTAGCACTCCTGATTTATTTGATGGTAATGTTGGTTCTGCAGTGATGGTGGGGCAGCAGCTATGGAAAGGTTTATGTTTTCTGCTCTGATATTTGGTGGGCTCACTAATTCAAGGGTTCAATAGAACACTTTGACTATTCCTGAATCTCAATGATTAGCTTGATTTCTCTGTTCCTGACTGATTGCTCTGGTTTACTACATTTCCCTGATAATTTCTTTGTTGTATTAAGTAGTTTCTTGATATTTCCTCCTCTCGCAGTGTTTTCACTATTATCGCAATCTCTTCCATGTATTTCTGCGTGTTTGTTTTTGTGTATTCAGTCGGTGCTTTGACTTACTGTGCTCTTGTTTAGCTGCCGTCAATTACTGTCTTCTTGTTCTTTCTTTCTTAAATCTTGCCCCGTGCTATCAATATTAGTTTATTTATTATGATGGTGCATCTTGGGGTCCAGCTCTTTATGAGATGTTAAAGTTACGGTTTCTTTAATTCCTTTTCAGTTGTCCTATATAGTAATTCCCTCTTCTTTTATTGGATATTGTAAAGCTTGGAACCTGTTGTTGTGAGCTATCTTGAATTCGTCAGCTCCAACATTTGTTCTCATGTCTTCCATGGATATTCTGAATTTTTTATTGATGCGAATAGGATCATTGTGGTTTTTTGTAGTGTGATCCGGTGAAACCCACGTATCTCTGTGTACTTGTTTGTGAGGGAATATAGTGCCACCTATAACTAATTAGTTAAATGTACATAAATTTGCAAATCTATCACCGTTCTCATTACTTTCCACCAGTCTATGTCGTTCGAAGATATCTTCATGTTCGGTGTTGTCAATTCCGACTTTGGTGTTTAGGC